GAAAACGATTGATTAACTTCGCTAGACCCTCCTAAATTCTTTTCTGTAAATCACATTTAGTACAGTCAAATTAGACCAAAAAATGGGCATTCCGTACATCAGATATGTCATCTTTAATTTTTATATTAAATTGTTAGGATGAATATGGATGTGAAAAATCCAACTTTTCGACATTGAAAGACCTGTGCGAGTGACACAGCACTTGAAAATGTGTCATTTTTCTTACCATTTTTTGGTTCTTGTAAGTTTTACTCCTGAAGAACCGATTTTAATGCAATTATTGTCGTATACTTTTTTGAACTAGATTTCTGACCATTTGAGCCTTTAACGATCTCCGCAAGTCTAATAGTTTCCGAGATACGGCGCTTCAACTATTGGTAAATTTATTAGTTTTACAAGTTTTATCAAAATTTGCGTTTTTTCTTCGCAGAAAGTAAACTTACAAAATATGCACGAAGAATTGCCGTAAGTCGTGAGACGTAATAAACTTGTTGTCGAAGAAGTGCTAAAAATTGCGGATAATGAAAGCAAACTAAATATTGATTTTTGTCTTTTAGTGGAAAAATGTCCGTGGTTATATGATGCCATATTCATTAAAACCATAGTGTTGTGAGTAAGGCTTTCTGCTACTGTCACAGATCTTCTATATTCGGTGTCCCTTTTGAATGGTCGAGCAAGGAAAAAATTCATAGATTTCGGAATCCATGCAACAGGTAGTGGATCTTGCTGAAGAAGAAGATGACAACTTTCTTATCTTGGGAGATGCTGGGGATCCAGAGGATATCAACATTCTAGCTCTCACTGTGTGGATTTATGGAGACTTTACACCAGAAAGTCCTCCCAAACGAACAAAATTATAAAAATGTTCATGAGGTTTTTATGCGAAAAAAAGGCAAATTTGATTAAAACTAAAGAATTTACGAATTTTATCTCCAAAACTAGACTTACAGAGCCGGTTAAGGGCTTGAATTGTCACAAATTTTGTCTAGTTTAAAAAAGTTTACGACAGTAATTGCTTTAAAATCTATCCTTCAGAACTAAAACTAAACAAAATCTAAAAATAATAGAAAAAATGGCGTATTTTCGAGTGCTGCGTTGCTCGCACAGGTCTTTGAATGTCGAAAACTTTCTGACATCCATATTCATCCTAACAATTTAAAAGAAAAATTAGAGATGACATATCTGATGCAAGGTATTATGATAATTTGACTGGACTAATTCCAGTATTAACATTTCAGTTGTAACTCTTTTTCCTCATATATGTACGTGGAATTATTAAAAATAAAAAGTACAATTCACGAATGGCACGGTTTAGGATACATCAAAGTGTTATCCCATGCAAGAGCACAAAGAACACCTACAAAAATCAACCACACAATTGAGGTTATTAAAAACAGTCAGAAACTGAAACATAGCGTTTTACATTTCAAAAAAGCGGCAATGTGACACTGATGAAGTTAACCTTTTTTTAGAGTACAGTTTCGATCTCGACCACCACCGTATTCTCTTACAAATGAATGCCTCGCTAAACAGAGACAAAACTTTCGAAGGATGGAGGATTAAAAACTGTTGACAAAGTCGCCCGAGATTAAACACCGAAAAATCTGGCAAAAGGGGGAGATCAAACGAAACTGCATGTAACCGATGAAGCCACGAGCGCGCATATTTCAAAATCGACTCCAACCTCCGCTAATAAGTCTCGGAAGAGAAGTGGCTTCGTAATTTTTTGTAAAAGCAGTCATAAATTATATGAAAGCCACAAAATTCCATTATCGCGAGAGCTTTATCTTAAGGTTCGTTATCCCTGTATGATCACAAACACGACCTCTCCACCCTGATGAGACAGACCGATCCACAGAGAATACCTAAACACTACTTGAAAATCCGCAAACACACACGAGACTGTAGATTAAATTCACCCCCGAGTTTTCTTGTCGATTCGTCTCTTAGTTTGCCGTCATCATGTCGGAAACGTCGTTATCTTCACACTAGAGGACGAGCCGATAGAATAGGAACGAGTTTAAGTGTGCATTCTGAATTTAACAAGTTAACGATATAGGAAAGAAAGGAATTTTAAATTACATGCCGAAATTTCTTTCCAAAATTTCGTTTATAAATTAAGTACAAACTCGCAGAATTGCAATCAGAGATAAAAGAAATCTCTAATTTTTATAAGAGAAATGGCCCAAAAGAAAAACTCGTTACCCTTATTATATTATGTATCGTACTCATATTTCTCTTCTTCTTTATTTCATTTTAAAACAAATCTTTTGGATGTAGCAAAGTTTTTTTTAAGAACGTCAAATTTATAAGACATTCTCGTTGCCACCATTACTTCACAAACATATATCACACCCTCATATAATATGTCACGAAATCATAACATAAACGTCACGTCACGAAATGGATACTTTGTCTTTGATATTGAATATCTTTCAAGAACAATGATATCGTAATGTCTCAGTTAAGATCGGGAACAGGAATTAACAAGTGATGGTCAACAGGTTATCGAGCACTAGTCGATGACAGCTTCAAGTTTCCATACTCTCAAGTTTTGGCGCGAAGTTGTTGGGCCAATTAAGTTGGTAACTTATGCTAATTTACACGCTAACACAAATTTAGGAGTTGTCTATTAATGACGCTACAATTTGAATGAGGTTGCGGCTGTGATTTGTTATTGAATGGGACGTGTTCTCTGACATTTCCATTTCTGGGTTTACATATAAATAGAAATTGTGAGAGGTCCTTATATTCCTCAAATTTGTTACGTACACGGTTTGAATTTACGATACAAAAGTGTAACATAAATAGCACCGACACTCAGTTGATCTAATTAGCGGCAAATATTTGCGTTAAGTATTCTGTTTCATGTCATTCAGCGAACTACAAGGATTCACCAAATGCTGTTGTACGTGTGTTTTAATCTGAATAGAAATTGGAATTCGATTGCAACTGTTCCAGACAGTTACGAGGTTAGTAAATTAAAGTTGAAGATAGTAAGAACATATACTTGTCAAAGAAGAAATTATTTCGCCCATTACTATGGACATTAGTTCAATCGGAGCTTAATTCTCTTTCCAAGACACGCAAAACTTGGAACTTTCTTGCTTTGATATTAATTATTGACAGTTCACTTGCGACTTCAATTTGTTTGTAAACTGTACTTATCATGGACCACGGTACTTCTAAAAATTTACATCAATGTAACACACTATAAACTGGATGATAACATTATGGCAATTCCTATCAAAACTTCCAAACCGCGACGAGCCAGAACTTAACTTTGACACTGGTTACGCCTACGTCTATCAAAACAACTAGAAAACACGCAAGAATCATGCGAGCAACCCCCGCATGCTTCACTTATTTAAGCAATCCGTACCTCCACTCCATGTACGTGCCTATGTACTCCGCCTCGCTATTGACCGACAAACAACAAAACGTTAACTACATCGCCAAATAGGCTCTCATATGCGTAGCGCTTATCATACAGGTGTCATGTTATTAAACCTGGCAAATTAATTTGTCCAATAACGGCTGTTACAACACATTAATTTGTCCTCCTGCCTCAAATCTATTTTAAAGTTTCCTTGAATTTCAGACTCATTAAATACAAAAATAGCCCCTAATTACTGATAGAAATTCACAATTTATATTACCAAAGACTAAAAATTACACTGACCAATAATTAATTAAAACATTGTACCTGAAACGCGCTTTGAAGATAGGCATTTTTTCCAATAAATGAAAATTGGAGTTTTAGACCTTGTTTGGACCGAAATTGTGACTAAAATTGAGCCTACGAGTAGATCTCGTAGAATAGAAGTTGGAGGTAATTTAATTAGGACTCGTAGTTCTCTTAAATTCTCAAAAAAAATCTATATAAGGTAAAATCGCATTTTTCCATAAATGCTCTTTTCCTTTTTGGTGTGATAATGTAAAAGAAGACATGTAATCATTTAAAAGACGGTGAAGTGTATAATATAAATATAAATAATCAAAATTATAGTAACCAATCAATGAATCAAATATACACACTCAAAATCGTCGCCTGGTTCTTGATGGCCTCCTCGTACTATAGCTGACTTCTTAACCAGCATAGCTTCATTTTAATGCGAATACGATTTTACCTTATATAGATTTTTTTGCGATTTTGATAGAACTACGAGGAATCGTGCATCGTAAAGTACTTTTCTTGAAAACCTCACGTTTATGCTTTTATACACCGAGATTGTAGGGATAACCTGTGGTTGATCAACATTTTGTTTTTGGTAGTGTAAAGTCATTCGAATCATTAATTCGTATTGGGTATTAATTATAGTTTAATATACGATTGCCTCCGTATCAGACGTTGCCGTTGCTATTTCGCAATATTTTATGTGCAGCGCAATTCAATACCTCCTTTGTTTGTTTGGTTGTGTTATTGTCTGTTACAGATTTGCAGAACGCGCCCTTCTGAATTCAGACGGTCGCTACGACCAGAATTCAAAGGTTAATTTTTTTTTCGTCGACTGCAATGCCAGAATAAAACTACAAATAAAGTCGCAGGCGCTACCACCCTATCTTATGTTCCCTCGATGTCGCCTCTCTATATTTCGGTGTTCAGCAACGCACTCCTGTAACTAGCTCAGTGGAGACGGAATGGATTCCACATTGACCGGAACCTACTACAACCTTCAAGTTCACTAAGACCAAAAAAGTGAAGATGGGCGCCACCAGCTCGCTTCCTAATCAGATTGTAGTTGTTGAAATATTCAGGCGGCACCATCAGGAGCCCCTCACACACACAAATATCTGTACTCGATTTGTTAGTGACTCGATAGGTAAGTAATCAAATTTGGCACGTTATTGCCCCCCCCCCCCCTAAATTTGACATGAACAAGAACCAGCAAGGATTGCGGTTAACAATAATGTAACGTGGTGCTTCCAAATCTCGGTCAAAAGTTCAAAAGTTCGAATCGCACACCGGCAAGTTATCAGCAAAAAAAGGCAAAACTTACCTGCAGTGAGTTCGCCGAATCCACCTCTAAGTGACTTCAACGTTGGTCTCATTAAGTCCTGCCGGACAGCTCCTTGACGACGGTGGCTACTCCATCATTTTCACGGCTTCCTTCTACGAATGCAGCGACATGCAGATCCAGATCCCAAGGTTTAACATCCTCATGTGGTACGGTATAACAAAAATCCCTTCCGACGAATCCTTCCGGAACAAGAACTGCTACGAGTACACCTAACATGTAACACCGAAACAGCCAAACACAAATTCGAGATAATCCTTACCTCCAGGCAGAAACGGATGACTCAAATTAAATTAGCTGTTGGAATCTTCGTAAGTAACCAATGAAATAACCGGGTGCTACCCAATACACCCATTCGTATAGAAAAAGGCCAATCTCTTGACAAACTGCATTCGGATCCCCAATCTGTCTTCTGAAAACCAACCAAATGGATATCCCGATTTCTAACTGATTTCACATTGGTAACAATAAGTTAAAAAATCGCCATCTGTCGACTCTCCCTTTTTTGTACGTTAGGCAGAAGCTCGGGAGTGGTGTGCCAGTGCAGCAATATTTTCTGGAGCTTTATTTCGCCTTCTTTAGACAACCTCTTGCGATGCCTCTGAGGGTCGTTCTGTTTTGGATACCATCGACACATCGACATAGAGGAAACCCTGCAAAAAAACACAAAATAAATTAAGGATAGATATGAAGGGATTTGATCTTCGAGCAGGGAATTTTATCCGAAAACGCCTAATTTGAAGATAAGTCTACAACCTGTATTCTAGGAGTTCTACTCGTATGATCAAAAGTTTATCCACAATTTCGGTCTAAAGAGGACCTAACTAAAACTCATATTTCACTTTTTGGACATAATTTCCTCAAGGGACCATAATTCGGTAACTAATTAACCTACAGAGCTCCGGTTGGGTTCAAATTGTCACATTTAAGGCTGGACAGTACACCTGTTCCGTTGCCCGAAAACGCTTGATTTCGTTCCACGACGTCTGAATTCTGAGTGAAAATAAAGAACGGATCGAATATTCCTGCGAAAGACGAATGCTTTAGCTAGACAATAACGCCGGGGTTTATTAAAATGTGTTGAAATAATCTTTTTTTAGGGGTAACGTCGAGGGTTGCCATATTTTGAAATAGAAAAACGAATACAAATTTTCCTGGCGTTATTGCGTAGATATTAAAACTTTTAGAGAACTTGGGTAGTGGGCCCAAACCATATACCAAAATATCAGAGATAGATCATGTTTTGCGAATTTAGTTCTTTTTTGTGTCGATTTTGACCGGAGAACTGTGGGTAGTGTCGGTATTATTTCAACCTAGAGAAATCGAGACCCGCTCTGCAGTTTAGGCAACAATATTTTTTATGCATTCAAACCCAATTTAAATCAAGAATATACTTGTGGAAATTTTGAATTCAGTTTTTGACACGGGTAATATCACATCTTAATGAGTTGATTCTACCACAAAAAGTATTTTTATTTTATTTTAGGGCACTGACAATTGACATCCCTTAAAATACACACAAAGCAGTCCGCAACTGAAACGGTATGTACCTTCTTAAACTATAACCTGGTTTGTATGCAGTCCCCCATTAACTGTTTGCGATGGTTATTAAAGGTTTCAGAACATTTCTTCCTAAATATTCTCATCCTTTCACTGTAAGCGTTGTATATCATTAAGACCATTGAAGGAAGAGATTGTAAAGAAACCCCTCCAATTTGAACTTTGTGTTTCATTGATAAATCAAAATTACCCCCTTATTTATATTCGCTTAATAATGATGCTTTGAGGCTTAAGAAGAAAGATGGGAAATGAAAGAGCGCAGAATGATCGAAAAATTAATTAACCAAAGTTCTCTGACGTGTCGGCATAGTTTTATGGGTTTCGTGCGGGTGAGACTATCATAAATCGATACCTAGCATTCACAAGTATTTAATTTTACAGCATTTGTCTGCTAATATTGAACGAAATTCGTGTTGACGGAATTATAAAAGAATGACACTCGCTGACAACATTAAGACTTGACATTACTAGTAATGATCAGCTCGCATGTCTAAGTGATATCCTCTTTGTGCCTTGTGACAGTTTGGGTGGAAGTAACTTTAATAAAACATGCAGATACGCGAATAGTGTAGGTAGGTAGTCGAAAATAAATTTACGCTTTTCTCCTGCGTTATGAACAAGAAAAAAGCTCAAGAGGCGTTTAATTTTGCAACTGGGTAATAATATGCATAGTAGTGTACTTCGTATAATTAATGACGTCGGCCGTCACTTGAAAATTTACTTAAAAGAGTAATATCTTTTAAAAAGCTACGAAATTGCTTTCAAAACTTGTTAAAACTTTGTAATTAGGTAATTGAAAAAGCCTACTAAGTCGATAAACTAACAAAAAAAGCCTCCCCTTATTCTATTACACTACAGAGTTTTAAATCACAAGGAGGCATTTTAGTAAAAAAAACTTCACCTTTATGAATCAACAAAGCAATAATAAAACAATTTTCTCATTCCGCAATCGTTTAAGTTTAAACGTAACGACGGTTTCTCGGGGTAAAAACTTTGAAATAAAATATATTTCGCCGGGAATGGAAAAGTCGGCAATAAAATCAAAATATTGGCTGACCAATGTGGGAAAACAATCTTAAATTTTGTCGAAGGCAATAACATATTTCAAACTGTGGTTCTCCGATAATGTAATTGGAATTTTGAATTGAATTCGTTCTTAGCTCAAACAGAAATGGTTTATTTACTCATCGCATCGGCTTTGGCCGTCATCTAAAAATGTAGGGCGAAATATGAATTAAAAGATAACATGACCGTAATTTACATCATTTATATATTTTAAAAGCCCTTTAAGGTCATAAAACGCAATCTCGCTTAAAATAAATTTGTTGAGCACTAAAGCGCGGTGCACACGAGGACAAATTAAGGACAAGTCTTAATTAGGTTTTTATTTAGATTAACAGCGGGCAGTTTTATTTTGGTTAAAATACAATAGAGACGTCTCTGTTATTCGGTAATTTTGATTTTAATTAATTCAAGGTAGGTCTTTGCCTCCGACACTAGGAGAGGATAATTTACTTATCGGCAGGACTAATGTGATTAAGGAATCTATCCTAATACGCATTGGTCAGTGGAGGTATACGCATTGTGCATGCAAACGAGGAAGGGTACTAAAATGTGACTTCAATTAAGGTGCTTATAGAGAAAAGGTTACCGAGGAGGTTGTTTCGTAATTAAGTTAACCATATTGAAAATTATGCCAGAGATTTGCACACACTTTATTGTGTGAAAGCGTTAAATCATTACGTACGATGAAATATTATTCCCTAAAATGTTAATTTTCTTGCGGTTCGTAATGTTCTACGGGCGCGAGGTAAATGGGAAAAAGAGGGATATTGCTAGGCTTGTGTGCAAGCAATTAAGGAGTAATTGTTTAATTAAGCTGAATGGTAAGAAATTATATATAGGTGCACGCTGGGGAATTAGTACATAGTAAATCTGAGTCCGAAAAACAACAAAATATGTCAAGCAAACGATTTCATAATAACATTAGTTATTTCCAAATTGTTTTCGTAAAGCTCATGGTATGCTACAAAATATGTGCTAGAATAGTGACATAATTGTTTATCACAATTCAAGTGAAGTCTCCTGAAGGGAATAATGAAATAATAAAAAGATGTTTCTCGTTCTACCATCATGACGAATTTGGCTCATTTTTTAAAAATATGTTCAAGTTTAGTAAATATACGTTTTTTTTACTATACATTTATGGCCTAACCCCCCCGGTGGTACACTCTCCTCCAAAACGTTTACCCCTTACAACTTTTCTATAGAAAACGAAAATTTGGTCGCACTTCCTAAAAAGTAATCATAGTTTCGGAGGAATACCCCCCAGTACAGAGATTACATGTTCCTCAAATCCACTACGACAATTGCGTTATGAAAATCCTCACCAAATATTGCACTCCTGGGGGGAGGCAGGTATTCCACACCACCCAGACCACCCGGTAGTACGCTCTCCCCCAAAATGTTCAGTCCTTGCCCCTTAGAACTTTTCCATATGAATATGAAATCTCTTACAGGAGAGGAAAGTGTTATGGCAGTTCCTAGACAGTAATCATACACATCTCCATTATGTATTCCATTCCTGGAGAGTATTCCATAACTTCGACGCCACCCAGTGGTACGTTCTCCCCCAAAACTTAGTCCTTAGGACTTTTATATTAGAAATATTTTATATGAAAAGAAAATTTGATTTGAATAAAACCTGAAGCTACCATATGAACAATATTCGTTTGGGGGAATGTGTGACTTTTACAACTTCCGCGTATTTCGGCGGCGAAAAAATGCAAAAAAATTCAAATAAAAATGAAGATTCAACATGAGAAAAATAAAAAATTATTCCTGTGCGTTTATTCATAATGGCGATGGATGCATACGATTTTAATTAAATAATGCAGTTCATGTTTATATTCAAGTAGCATTTATGAGAATTATTAAACTGTTCTTCTTTCTATCACAATTTGGAAACATTTTTCGTTCCTATACCTATAGATATTATTAGGTACGGTCCTTGTTTTTGCGTACAGAATGCCGTCTTTCTGCGATAATTGCGTGTCTTAAGAGAAAGCAGAAAGGGAGCAATAATTTCAGCAATTCCTCTCATTTCAAACATGCACAATGGTGTGTTATAATTAAATAATTATCAACAAAGACCTTTTGTTTATAAACGTTACAGCCCTGGCACCAGACAAATGAAAGTTCATTAATTTTAAGTATTATAGATGCTCGTAATCTTATAATAATTCTAAAGCATTAAAGCATATAACGTATAATATTCTGTATTTCCTGCCTTATTATACGTATACGTCGGTAGAAATTTTAAGACGGGCTTAAATGTATTCATCATGGATTTTCTAGGCGAACACAAATAATCCCTAAAATAAATCAGCGAATCAATATTATTTGTATATACAGAAAATATGTACACAAACAGGGAACAAGGAAAGTTAGGGAATTACGTTTACGCATCTCATATCGTCTTTTTGTTGTAGGGATCGTTTTGCACCTCTCAAATCAACATATCAATTATTCATTCTTTTTCTTAGGACAGTACTGAATAAGTCACATAAGAGGCCTTCTGTGACTGATAAATATGTAAATTAAAAGTTAATAACAAAAACCAGCTTTCAAAGTGACACTTCTTAGATCAACATTTTTAATTTTATAAACCTATGTTTTCTTTTTGGTTCATCCTATTGACTGGTTGAGATTCCTATTGAAAAAAATAACGAACTTAGACCGGATTTCAAAGGAATTAAAGAATTTACTCGAGAAGGGTATATAAACAACATATTAGAAGTATATGAACAACTTCAAGTCTTCAAAGAAGAGTTCGTTTTGGCAATACTACGATGCTGATTCTCCCGCCAACTGATCTAATATAAGAATCTTAAATACACATTTAGGAGCAAATCTTTTGTAGATCGACCCGAAAATGAAAAACTTTATGCTTTGACGGAACAACCCACCCTTTTTATAGAACGTTTTACAAAAGATCCCACTGTAAAAGGTTACAAAAATCTTTCCAGCAAACCAGTTACACGTAGGTACTTATAGTAGGGGAGCCCAATAAGGGATTTTGGGATTTACTCGA